CTCCAACCTTTCTGTTAACAGCCAAGGACTTAACCGTTTGCACCACCCAGGGACTCCAAGATATCTGAAGAGACACAGATTTTAGGACCAGGGCTGGGGCAGGTGGGGGGGTGGGGTGGTGGTGCTAAAGGAAGTGACTGAGAGGGGAATCTGGTCAGGAAAGTCCTCTTTATTCCCTGCGGGGCTCTGAGGCATAAGCAAGGCTGAGAAGGCCCATGAAAACTCCCAGCCACAGCTAGACTTTGCTTCTGTAAGAACAGGTGTCCTGAGCCCAAAGGAATGTGACTGGACCACACTGCGTCAGGTCAGGAAAAATATTCTTACTGTCTACCCCTCTGCTCTAGCCTCTGCTTTGAAGTCCTGGCTTAGATATGATTCTTTTGCTTTGCTGCTTTCATTAGCAGAGGCAAGTTCTTTCCAAAAAGTCACATGAATTGATCTTGATAAGTACAACTGAACTAAATCAATTTCAGGTGAAAGCACCATTCATTTGTATAATACATTTAAAATTATGTCAACGTGTTTTTACAACAAATTGTAATAACTTCACTATCCATCTCGTGAGTTACCCAAGTTATCCTTACTTAGCAGTTTGGGAAACAGGGACAAAGAGCATTTAAATGAGGCACCCAAGGTCACACAGCAAGTCACCACAGAGCTGGAAATAGAGCTTGTTGTTGTTGTTATGTGCCATCAAGTCGGTTCCGACTCATAGCGACCCTATATAAAACTGAATGAAACACTGCCCAGTCCTGCGCCATCCTCACAATTGTTGTTATGCTTGAACCCATTGTTGCAGACTCAGTGTCAATCTATCTCGTTGAGGGTCTTCCACCTTTTCACTGACCCTCCACTTTACCAAGCATGATGTCCTTCTCCAGGGACTGATCTTTCCTGATAACATGTCCAAAGTATGTGAGATGTAGTCTCAACATTCTTGCTTCTAAAGAGCATTCTGGCTGTATTTTTTCCAAGACAGATTTGTTCATTCTTTTGGCAGTATGGTATATTCAATATTCTTTGCCAACACCACAATTCAAAGGCATCAATTCTTCTTCAGTCTTCCTTATTCATTGTCCACCTGTCGTACACATATGAGGCGATTGAAAACACCCTGGGATCTTCTAATTCTGTACACTGTTTCAGGAATATCGGAGTTCTAAAAAACAGATGAGTGTATAAAATGAACAGTAGAGATTATCAAAACCCATCATTTCACAAATGAAGGCAGACACCAAATGCAGATACCAAATGCCTGTCCAAGGCCATGGTGTTGATCACTGGCAGAATGAGAGCAGCTGGGACTTAGCAGACCTTCTCTCTGGCAGCCATACCACTTTGACCCACCACTTTGCATTGTAAAGCAGGAAATACTGTACCTTAATGATACCTCCTTTTTCAGAGTGCTTAGAGTGTTTTCCTTCTGGAGTTGTGCAGTGCACAGCCTGCAAATCCAAATGAGGTGACCCTGTATGACCTATCTATGTCTGTATAGTTGCTATACATTATATCACATTATATACAGGTTAATAAACAATTGTATTTCCTTGCAAAGTGAAATTATACCTTCTCTGTGTGGCAACAAAATTGTTTAGAACTTTGAGTCTCTGTGAGCATGGGGAGAAAAGGCAAGGAGATAAGTTTTTAAAGGGGGCCTTGGTGATGAACAGATTAGAAACTATGGCCTGAATCTGTTATTACACATTAGGGATCTGTGGGTCAAGGACAAGCACATTCAATGGAACGGGAGATACGGCAATTGTGGGGACAAATGGATCCTAGAAGGGGAAACAAACGTAAAACTAAACATTTGATCATGGAGTTTGGATTAAAGTGGGGTATAAAGATAATTTCTAATGTTCAATTGACAAGCACCTTAAAAAGTCATCTATATTGAATAGCATTTTGTGATAATTATTCTTTGGGGAACAAGATCTTTATTTGCCTCAATTTATAAACAGGGCATATATTTATGTAAATAACTGATAAACCATGCCATAATAAAGTTCTACTATAAACCACGTGACAAAGAAACCATAGTTACTATTTTTTTAATACAGAAAAAAAGTCTTTGAGCTCGTGTTTGGAAATAAGGATTTTAGGCTTAAAAACATATCCTTCATCTCCCACAGAAATAAGTCCAAGATGTTTACAGATAGTGTTTCTGCAATTAATCCTGACTAATTAAATACTTGATCAATGTTGTTATCAATTTTAGACTCAGAATGAGCTGCTGAAGAGGCAAGAACTAAGGAATTTACTGTCATTCAGAAGCGCTAGGTGTGTGTTGGGGAGCAATGCAATTGGACTTGGCCCTTGAAATACAGCCGTGGTCATAGGAGAAGGCAGGGCTGAGCCTCTGTCCTGTGAACTCTGAGAAGCCACACTCTGCTCTGACCTGCCCACACCCGTTTGCCTCTGGCTACATGACTCGCACTCCCATGCCAGCTCTTTCTGGCTTGGCTGTTGCTGGCTGTCTCTTCCTCTAGCCCGGGCCAGGCTGGCCCTGGTCCACTTGCTTGGTCATGACCTTCTACCTCATGTCTCTGGATCTCTCTCTCAGCTTCTAGTCCTCCCTGACTCTCTTGAGATAGGAAAACAGAGACATATCCATTTGGAGGATGCATGATTTCTTTAATTAATAAACGTTACTACCATAGCAAGACTTTGTTGCATAGAATCAGTAAGCACTCTGCAAAAAGATCTTGTATATGTGTCTACTTTCGTCTCCTATCATACATTCACATTTTCAAGATTGTGAAGTAAGATGACATAAGATTCATGCAGTAGGTACAGGTGTACTAAAAAGAAGAGAACCTCACCTAAAACTAGAAAGCAATGAACATTTCTAATAACAGACAGCAACAAATGACAGAAATGTACAAAAGTCTAAGACTTTATAGTGAATCTGTGTTAATAATTGTCCAGAAACTCAGGACTTGATACCTTAATATTAAGCTAGCATTAGCTTAGTGGTAGAGCCAGCATCTGGAAGAAGTACAAACTGATGCCAGACTTGATGGATTTCCAATTAAGATGCCAATGGGTGTGCTCAGAACCATCGCAGAAACTACAAAAGCAGCCTTCATGTTGTGAGTTTCCATTCTTGCCTTGACTCTATTTTTCTCTATATATTTTTTTCATTTTTCCATAGAATGAGGGCACTCTATATTAAAAAAGAAAATGCAAATTAAAATATATATATTTTATCAGGGCAAATTTCAAACAAATTTAAAAGTAGAGAAACTGGTATACTAAATCCTTATGTACCCGTCACCCAACTTCAATCATAATAAATTCATGGAAAATCTTGAGTCATCTGTATCCTCTGCTCTACCCACCTGAATGATTTAGAAGTCAATTCCAGGCTTCATATCATTTCTTTATGTATCCCTAAAAGGGATAGATTATTTCTATAAATACATCCACAATATTTTTATCACAACACTTTAGAAATAATAATTAATTATTATCATGAAACATCAGGACAGTGTTCAAATAGCCCCAATTGTCTAATAAGTTTTTTTAAAGTTTTTTTTCTTGTGCTTTAGATAAAGGTTTACAAAGCAAATTAGTTTCTTATTAAGCAATTAATACACATATTTTGTGACATCGGTTGCCAATCCCGCAACACGTCAACACTCTCTCCTTCTCGACCTTGTGTTCCCCATTACCAGCTTTCCTGTCCCTTCCTGCCTTCTTATCCATGCTGCTGGGCTGGTGTGCCCATTAAGTCTCATTTTGTTTTATGGGCCTGTCTAATCTTTGGCTGAAGGGTGAACCTCTGAACTGAGTTAAAAGGGCATCCAGGGCCATACTCTCAGGGTTTCTCCAGACTCTGTCAGATCAGTAAGTCTGGTCTTTTTTTTGTGAGTTAGAATTTTGTTCTACATTTTTTCCAGCTCTGCCTGGGACTCTCTATTGTGATCCTGTCAAAGCAGTCAGTGGTGGTAGCTGGGCACCATGTAGTTGTGCTAGACTCAGTCTGGTGGAGGCTGTGGTAGTTGTGGTCCATTAGTCCTTTGGACTAATCTTTCCCTTGTGTCTTTAGTTTTCTTTGCTCCCCTTTGCTCCAGACGAGATGGGACTAGTGGAGTATGTTAGATGGCCACTTACAAGCTTAAAGTTTTTGTTTTTTAAATCAAGAACAAAATTAATTCCACACATTGGAATTAGTTGATATGGCTCCCAAATTTCTCTTTTATGACATGGAGCTGTAATTTACATATAGTACAATTCACCGTTTTTAGTATATGGTTCTATCGGTCTCTGCAAACATATACAGTCATGTAAGCACCACCACAATCAAAATACAGAATAATTCCATCACTCCAAAAACTTCCCTCTTGCCCCTTTGTACTCAATCCGTCTCTCCATCCTCAGCCTCTGGCAACCATCACTCTGTTTTCTGTTCCTACAATTTGCCTCTCCAAAATGTCATACTAATGGAATCATACCACATAGCCTTTTGAGTCTAGCTTTCTTCACTTGCATGTTGTTGTATGTATTTAGTAATTTCTCCCTTTTTATTGCAAAGCAATATTCCATTGGGTAAATATACCACAGTTTGTTTAATCATACAGATGTTGAAAGACGGTTGGGTTGTTATCAGTTTGCCAATTGTGATTAAAGCCTCTAGAAACATTCGCAAACAGGTTTTTGAGTGAATGGTTTTATTTCATTTAGGTAACTGTCCAAGAGCATGATTTGTGGGTCATATGGAAAGAGCATGTTTACCTTTATAAGAAACTGCCAAATTATTTTTTAGAGCGACTGTACCATTTTGAATTCCCACCAGCAATGTACGAGAGCTCCAGGTGCTTTGCATCCTTACCAGCATTTGGTATTGTCAACTTTGTTTTTGATTTTCTGGCTTTAACCATTCTAATAGATACATAGTAGTATTTCATTGTGAAGTATCGAATTCATTTGCCCATTTTCTAAACTGGGTTGTTTGTTTTCTTATTATTACACTTTGAGAATTCTTTGTATATTCTGGATAAAATTCTTTTTTTTTTTTTTTTAAATCTTGTTACCACAAATTATGCAGCCGAGTTTCCCACATTTGGGGAAATCGCAGGGGTCAGCACATCTGGAGTGCAGTGGATAAGCCTCGCCCTGGGAAAATCACCTTCGTGATCATGGTATCTCCTCTGCCAGGTAAGTATTGGATAAAATTCTTTTATTAGATGCATGTTTTGCAATTATTTGCTTCCGGCCTGTGGCTTGTCTTTTCTTTCCTTTAACAAAGTCTTTTGAGGAGCCAAAGTTTTTAATTTTGTTGAAGTTCATATTAATCTCTAGGTTCTCCCTTACTCTTTTTAAATTCATAAAAAATATATTTATTGAAGATACCAGGTTTTATGCTACACATTGCAATTGGTTGATTTGTCTCTTGTTGTTAGTTGCTGTCAAATCAATTCTGACTCAGGGCGACACCATGTGTGTAGAGTAGAACTTCTCCACAGGGTTAAGTGTCTTTAAATCTCTAGGTTCCTTCTCCCTCTTTCTCTCTCTCTTTTTTCATTCCTTGAAAATTTATTTATTAAAGAAAGAAGGTCATTTGTCCAATGATTTCCCTTAGTCTGGAATTTACTGACTGTACCCTTTATTAACTCACATCTATTTCTTCATCAAGGGCTCAAAATGTAGTCTGTCTATTTAGGTGAAGGAAACCCTCCACCTTCCTAAATTATAGAGTTCATTGGAGCTCATTCCATAAACATTTACTAAGTACCTACTATATGCCAGACATACAACTTTTTCTTTATGGGGAATAGGCAAGCATTAGGTAGAGCTGGTTTACTATTGGACCACTGTTACATTCGCTTTCAGATATTTGAAGAAAAGAGAATTACAAACAAGTTCAGAATTCTGCAATATTTCTGATCTGTGGTCATATTTTGATTTAATAAGAATCCATGGGCCAAGCTTTATGATTTTAATATAAATAACAAGCTTTTAATGTGGATTCAGAGATTTTTATCACAACATCCCCTACAAAAAATAACAGTGCATAGGAACTAGGAACTGATAGATTAATTTGCATTAGTAAATGGAGTCCCTAAATTGGCACGATGTTTGTATTAATTAGATGTATGTTTCCTTGACATAGCAAATACTAAGGGATACATCCTTCTAGGAATGACATCCTTACTCTCTTTTCCAGGGGTAGTCTTCATAGAGCAGCTTATCCTATTGATCAGTGACAGTGAAATAACAACAATAATAATAACAATAATATTCCCTGCTCAATATCAATGAAAAAACTATTATTTTGATGTACAATCAATAACTCCATTTTGATGAATGTATTATTTAGTATTAATATAATTAAACCCAGTAAATTCTCTGGGATGCTTCTTTGTGGTTACCTGATGTAGGCAGGCCCATCAGGATATAGTCTGCTCAAAAAGAAACTACTCCACAGACAACATGGATTTCTAGGAAGTTCGTTTATAGATATACATGATACAATCATAATGTAGGACCTTTGACGTACAATTGATTATGTTAATTACTGGCTCCTCCTAAAGATAATTGTTTAAACATTATTTTTGGTTGCTCACTCTCCACTTTTACACTATTATTAGGAATCCATGCAGCATGTCACCTTGTCCAGTGACTGTGGTATACATTTGACAAGTAGTTCTCAGAGATTATATCAGAGAGTAGTTCAAACCTCTGTGTTCTATAGTGGTTTATGATGAGATTGGCATTCAGATACACCTACCTTGTAATTTTTTGTCAACTTAATATTATTGTCAAATTATCAGGAATAGAAATTTGAGGCCTTTTGACCATTCATTATTTTCTAAGGATAATCTTGGCCCTGCCTATGAAAATTTTCTCACTTACCTCTGAGAGGAAGTGGAATGTCTTTCCTTCAACAAAATATCTTTGCTAAGTGTCTTATTTTTCACAAGGAGCCATCTGTCTTAACCACAGCTCTTCCCTGCAGGAGGCATATGAATCTGTCCTTAATTGGCAACATAAAAGAGTTGCTAGCTACTTTGCCAAGGATTACATTCTTGAGTTCCTTGTTACTCAAGTATCTATTAAAAGCCCAACTAAGAGAAACAATGTCCTTGAATGATTTCAGAAAGATTCACATTTCATCCATTCCTTCATGTTTTGTTTCCACTGTATTCCCAATACCTATGTCTGACATGTAGTAGGTCCCCACAATATTTGTTAAATGAATGAATGGATGAACTCTATCACTGGATTAAATTAAAAGAGCGGAGGGATGTATTTACAGAGTATTTTGTTTTGGCCCCTTGAGAATTGTTGCTCCGAAATTGTCTTCGGTGTGTTGCCTTGAGCTTGTACTGAGAATTGCTCTATGAATCTTCCTATGGGATCATGTTATTATATTTCACACTCTCAAAGACCTGGTGATCTACTTCCAAAAAATCAACCATTGAAAACCATATGGAGCAGTTCTACTCTGCACACATGGGGTCTCCATGAGTCAGAATTGACTTAACGGTAACTGTCTTTGTTCGTTTTACCTTATAAAGCCCCTCAATAACATTTCTTTTTTCTGGTACTAGTATAAAGAATAGTCATGTTTATCTTGAGAAATTGACTTGTTCTTATTTTATGAATACCATAAATTGTGTTACCAATCAGATTTCCCTTTTCCCATTCACTGTCATAGAGCAAAATTTGTAGCTCAAAAGAATATTATAACTACTTTTTTCAGCTTACTAATTTCTACCTCTAGTTTTTTGCCCCATGTTTGTTTTCTCTTGTTCACTCTCAGATAATTTGTTGTTTATGATTCATTGACATATTTAATTAGTAATTTGTTGGAATATTTTATGTATCCCTTTATGTCATCTTAAATATCTTTTGGAATAAGATAGGATGCTAATAAAAAATTTAATCCATCAATTAAAGAAAATATTAAGATTATTGTATAGAAGAATTTGGTAGTTGATAAATCCTACTTTTAAAAGCCTCAAAACAAGACAATCTTTTTTTTTTAAATTGTACTTCAGGTGAAGGCTTACAGAACAGTTTCTCATGAAACAGTAGTTACACATATTGTTTTATGACATTGGTTAACAACCCCACAACATGTCAACCCTGTCCCTTCTCGACCTTTCTTTTTTTCTTTTTGGTGAAAATATACATTGCCAAAGATACACCATTTCAAAAATTTCTACATGCACAGTTCAGTGACATCGACTACACTCTTCCAATTGTGCTGCTATTCTCACTTTAGATGAAGACTTACAGAACAAAATAGTTTCTCATTTAACAGTTGGTACACATGTTGCCCTATGACAATGG